CCCAAGATGGCTCCAGTGATGCTAACAGCCATACAGTAGTGAATGTATCTGTCAGCCCCAGAAGTTTCCTTGTGCCCTTTGTATTGCCTGTTTCTCCCCATCCTCCCAGCTCCAGGCCGCCACGCATCTGCTCTCTGTCACTGTAGACTAGTTTGCATTTTTAGAGCTTTATATAAATGTGGAATCATACAGTGTGTGCTCTTTTTTTAACCTGATTTCCCTCACTCAACATATTTTGAGATTCATACATGTTATTGTGTGTATCAACAGTTCATTCCTTTTTATTGCTGAGTAGTATTCCATTATGAGCATAGACAACAATTTGGTGGATATTTGCCAACCCTTCTTTTTTAGCGAAAATTAAAAAAAAAACCCAAATGTGAGGAAGGAGATGAATGGTTAAATTATACTATTGTTGCATAATGAAATATTATACAGCCACTAAAAATCATGTTTTAGAAAACTTTTTAATAACTTACTTTATTTACAACATAATGTTTATTGGAGAAAAGCAAGATGTAAAACTTTTTATTTAAAAAATATGTCATACACATTGAGAAGAGTGACAGGAAAAAATGGATGGGTAATATTACTAATTTTTATTTTTCTTGTCTTTATCATTAGAATGATGTATGTTATCATTATAATTTCTGTCTTTATCATTAAAAAAATAAATAAATGCCTAAAATAAGTTGAACTAAACCTTCAACTGTCAGATAAGATCCAGCAGTTGACTCCTGGGTGTTTATCTCAAAGGAATGAAAACTTATGTTCACAGAGAAACTTGTACCCAGATATTCATGGTAGCTTTATTTGTAGCAGTGCAAAGCTAGAACCAGCCCAGATGTCCTTCCAGAGGTGAGTGGCTACACTGTGGTACATCCATGCCATGGAACGCTGCTCAGCAATGAGGAGGAATGAGTCACCAGTGCATGTGAAGTGTCCATATGTGCAATGACTTGGATGAGTCTCCGGGTAGTGATGCTGAGTTTAAAGAGCCCAACCCCAAAGATTACCCAGTGTGTGACTCCACTTATACAACATTATGGAACATTTTAGAAAGGCAGGACAGATTGTTTAGGGACGGGTGAGTGAGGGGAAGCAGGAGGGAGATGGGTGTGGCTATACAAGGGCTATAGAGCATCCCTGTGATGTTAGAACTGTTCACTATCTCTGCTGTGAAGGTGGGTACGTGAAAACCCACCTGCGAGATAAAATTGTATAAAATACACACAAGTTTAAGTATAAGTGGGGAAATCTGGATAAGATCAGTGGATTGTAGCAAAGTTAGTATACTAGTTGTGATGTTATGCTATAGTTTTGCCAGTGTTACTAATGCCAGGGGAAACTGGCAAAATGTACAAGGAATCTCTCTGTATTATTGTTTAAACTGCATGTGAATCTTCGATTGTCTCAACACAAGTTTCAATTTGAAAGCAAAGGAAAGACCAGAAAAGAAGCTTGGGAAGCAGTACCAAGTGACAGCTCGATGCTCCGCCAGCTTTGAGCCAGAGCAGCGCGGGGCTCTGTCCCTGGAGCTGTGCCCCCAAGGCTGGCCTGGCACCGTGCAGCCCACCTTGTGTCCCTCCCTTGTTCGGCAGCGCGTGCAGCACATCCGCATCGATGGCTCCACCCCCTCGGCCGACCGTGAGGACCTGTGCCAGCAGTTCCAGCAGTCCCAGGGGCACGCCGTGGCTGTGCTGTCCATCACTGCCGCCAACATGGGCCTCACCTTCTCCTCAGCTGAGCTGGTGGTGTTCGCAGAGTTATTCTGGAACCCAGGGGTAAGGGGCATGCCCTGGGTTGCGGGGAGGAGGGAGCTAGTGTCAGTGGGGGAAGGCAGGGTTTCTGGGCTCTGTCCCTGGTGCCAGTTTCATCTTCTTCCCTCCATTTCTGTTAAGCCTCAGAAACACGTTTGTACTTTCCATATGTCTGTCTTTAAGTTCGTTGGCCAGGTATTGGATCTTCACAGCAACCTACTGGGTTGGATTATTACTGTAGCATTATCAACTCCTTCTTATTATCGATGGGAAGACTGACGTTTTAGGAGGAATGTCAGGCTCCATCTCTCTATGAAGAAATTGGGGCACAGAGAATTCAAGAGCACAGCTGTCACTTAAAGGGGAGCACCTGGCAGCCCAGGCCCCAGCCCAGGACTCTGGCTTCCTAGCATGAGCACCGTTTATCGACCACCCTCATGAGCCGCTTTACCCGTGGGGCCACAGCGGAGTGACTGGTGGGTGTTCCTTGAACGCAGTTGTGGTGCCCACTGGCCTTATCTGATCAGCTGAGGGCTGTGGCAGCAGATGGAAGACATTTGTTTGGACTTAAGCTTTTCTCCTGAACTCCAGAAAGTTCTTCCCTTCGTTCTGACTCGGTATGGCTCTCAGTGACCACACATAGGCAACAGCTGTAACAGTGGGAGGACTTGGAGGCTGAAGGCATTTATAACAGAAACCATGCTCTGAGTTCTTAGTATTCATTGTAGGGTTTACCTCCACATAAAAAAGCATTTTTAGAGCTTTATATAAATGTAGACTCATACAGTGTGTACTCTTTTTTTAAACCTGATTTCTCTCACTCAATATATTTTGAGATTCATACGTGTTATTATGTGTATCAGTAGTTCGTTCCTTTTTACTGCTGCTAATATTCCATTGTATGCATATACCACAATTTTCTATCCATTACCCCCTACCCCTGATGATATATGGCCTCTCCCTGGGTGCGGTACTTTTATTTATTTAGAAGATAACTTTATTTGTTCCACGGAGGAAGAATAAAAGTGTGCCGAGTCTGTCTGCCCTTGGTCACGGCTGGTGGCAGAGCTAAAGCTCGTTCTCCCTCCGCAGCGCCCAGCACCAGGCCTGACGTGGAAGGGCCATCTGCAGCTACCCAGCTGCAGATTGAGTTCCCTGAGCAGTGTTGCGTTTGCTTCTCCCTTTTATCAGCTGTCAGGTCCTTTGTGGGTAGAGCCTCACAGGCCCTCTGCCATGTGACGTGCAGTGAGGAGGAAGGGCTGGGAGTCGGGTGGCGCAGGGGCAAGAGGTTGCCTGCTGTGCTGGGCTGAGCCGCTCCCGGGCTTGACCTCCATGCATCCCATCCTTGCCTGGCAGGTGCTGATCCAGGCTGAGGACCGGGTGCACCGCATCGGACAGTTGAACTCCGTGGGCATCCACTACCTCGTGGCGAGAGGCACGGCTGACGACTACCTTTGGTAACGCCTCTGGCTGGCCCGGCAGCTGGGGTTGACACCAGTGACAGATTTCCTTTGCTCCCGAGAGCTTCTGCTTTTGCTGAGGACTTCAGGGATCCCCACAGAAGACCTGTTAGTAGGGCCCACCCTCTTTCATCACGACCCTGTTTGGCCTCCTACGCAGCATTACTGGTGGCTGCAGGGAGCATGAGGAAATCTCGTAGGAATAAGGGGATGTGGTTCCTTCCCACTGGCCTGAGATAAGGGAGGGGAACTTGGGATAAAATCGGTGGACTTTAGTTTGTAAAACACCCTGTTCCTAAGCAGGAGGGCGCTTGCTGAGACAGGGAAATGGCCCCCTTTTCCCTTCATGACATGCGTCGGTACCATGAGGCCACATCCTGCAGTGCTGCTGCCGGGCCAGTGGGAGAAGGTGGCTCACCCTGGGCCATGTAGTGCCTCCTTAGCAGAGCTGGGGTAAAACTTCCAGCTCTGGGATTTCATGTCCACTACCTCAGCAAGAAAAGTCCCCAAATGCCTCCTCCCTAATCCCACATCCCTCTTCCTGATACTGAGTTTCTTGATTGTCTCATTAGTTTCCACTACTTATCTCTGTTTCCACACTTATGACTAAGGCATCACCCTACCTTTATGGCGTGCACAGGTTGCCCCTACTTCCCTCTCTTTGTTAGTGGATTTGTTAATTGGGCAGCTCACAACAGCGCCAGGTTCAAAATGTTGTAATGGCATTCATTTCCTACACATCTTCCAGTGGAAAGAATTTTGAGCCTGATGATATGAGCCCTGAATTGGTCAGTTTACAGTAGAGAGGAGGTAACTATTTCAGGATGGGCACTTGTGCCTGGAAAGGTGCAAAGGTGTGAAACAGTAAGCCTGTCGCGGTCCCATGAGAACAGGGGGTGGTGTCATTTTAATCGGTCTGCTGATTCTGTGCAGGTTGTTTCCACTGAAGCTCGTTTCTCCCCAACAGGCCCCTGATTCAAGAGAAGATTAAAGTTCTGGGGGAAGCCGGGCTTTCTGAGACCAATTTTTCAGAAATGACAGAAGCCACAGGTTATTTCTACAAGGTACCACCAGCACGTACCCCGGGGGCAGAGGGAGGCCTTGAGCTGCCTGCTCAGCGTCCTGTGGTCCTGGGAGGGAGGGTGTGAATCACTCCTGGGGACCTCCCACAGCCCAGGAGCTAAAGTGATGGCTGCAGTCATTCTTGGTTCAATTGTGTCTGCCTCCCCTTATGCAGAAGTGCTGGCATTAAGGCCTGCTGCTTCTGACACGCCCACCTAGATCCTCATAAAACCAGAGCCTCCAAATGCTGCCTCTTCCATCAGGCCATTAGAAACTGACAGAAAACTCCCCTTGTGTTGTTGCAAAAAAGCGCACAGCAACACCAAGCAGCAGGCCTGCCACCGGAACACGCCCCCCGCACAGGATGGGGAGTGTTTCACATGGGGTATTGCCTTTATATAGCATATTTTCCCCTCTGTCACTGCATTTTATCCCTGGTGTCTCCCACTTTGTAAAGGGGTGAACCGAGGCTTGCAGAGCAATAAGTCTCGCTCACAGTCACGGGTCATGGGAAGCCAGCCCAAGGCCGAAGGCGTCCCAGCTCCGCCCAGCATTCCCCATGCGACAGCCCCGCTTATTATCAAGAGGACAAAGAGGCCAGTGGCTTCTTTCCTTCCGTGGCTTGTTTGCCTGTGGAGAGAGCAGCCCGGGGCCCAGCAGGCCTGCCCTGGCCTAGCTCTGCGGCCCCAGTTGCCCCAGCCCTTCCTCCTCCATCTCAATGAAACCAGATAAAGAGGAGTGAGAGGTGCTGGTCTTCTTTCACCTGCTCGGACGGTTGGCAGGACAGTGAGGACTTGGGGGCAACTGCCTGCTGGAGGGCGGCTCCTGAGTGGACTATTTCTAACACGAGGGCTTGGGCAGAGGTCTGAGCCTCATGCAGAAAGGTGGCCTTGCTCTTCAGGAGATCAAAGTGCCTGCGCCTTCCCGTGGAATTGCAGCGCATCAGAGGCTGAGGGTTAAGTCAACACAGCCTTGTAGGCGATACTGAGACTCAGTCTGAGGATATGAGCTTTCATTTGCATTTACTGAGCAACCACGTTCCCTCTTCAGAAGGTAGTTATTGGGATAAATAAGACTCAGGGTAGGGAGGACATATTTTTAAACATTAAGTATAAATTATCCTTATAGTTAATAAGCCTGTTTTTTTTCTTTGAAGTATAGTTGATTTAATAAGCCAACTTTAATAAGCCAATTTTAAAACAACCTTATTTTTAAACTTTTTTAAAGAACTTTCTAGTTCAGTGGTGACTGTTCTGACAGAGCCTTGGTTATTATGTGCCCATTAAAGAGCAAGAGCCTTATCTTTAAAGGATTCTCAGCCCATGAGAATGGGTTTATTTATAACTCTTTTATTCAGATTGGCCTGGCCCTCAGTTGCTTTGAATTAGTTAAGAATTCTGCCTAAAGTACAAATGCAAAATAATATAGATGGAGTTTATCAGCATTTATTTTGATTAATAATTATATCAATTTATTTTTTTATGAAAATAGGGCCGAAATGTTATCAACTTCTAGTAAAAGAAAATGTTGCTTCCTGTAGAGGAGCCAAAAACAAAGGCGTTTATGCCTGCCTGCCTGCTGAGAGGGGAAGTGAAACACTCATCTGGTCTTGGAATGTAGTTGCGCGTGCTCCAAGTTAGCGCACCGTGCTCCCACAGCATACTCAAATGCACGTGAGCAGTCAGTTCTTCCTGGAGGGGGCTGCCTTGCAGGTGGCCTTTCCTTGACCTTGCAGTTGTTCAGGCAGAAGCTGATGAAGACATGGTAGAGGAGGACACGTGGACGCTGTGGGGCTGACCTTGACGATCTCTAATGTCTCTTCCTATCTGAAAGGCTGGGATCCTGAAAGGCAAGGGAGGGTGGAGGACAGGTTATGGAATACTCCAGAGTCCTTACAGGACTCGTTTTCAAGGACCTTCATTTCACCAGTGTGGAGGGCTTCTGTGAAAGTGAAGAAACAGTGGCCAGTTAGGTTGAGACCTGATTATAAAGGGCCTGAAAAGCCACGTTAGACTTGATGAGGTAGACACAGGGGTGCCCAATGACATGTGAAGAAAATCTTGTTAAAGGGTAGTCTGGGGGAAGGTATAGCTCAGTGGTTAGAGCACATGTTTAGCATGCATGGGGTCTTGGGTTCAACCTCCAGTACCGCCATTAAAAATAAGCAAA